TCAACTTAAATGGAGAATCAATTTTTTTTTTTTCTCCAGGGTAAAAAACAGACCTGTCCTTTCTGTGAGGCCTGGGCCCTCTAAGGAAAGGCCACCTTGACCAAAGGAAGATTTCCCTCCCTTTGATAACGGGACTATCCCCTAAACTAACAGAAGATCATAAACCTGTAAGTCACAAACAAGACCATTTTATCAGAGTGCAGTCATTTCACGTTATGAGCAAATGCCCTGTGTGACAGCCTGACACCCAGCCCCCGGGTGCACGGCGGTCGGCTCCACGGAAAGCGCAGGACAGCAACGCGGCCAGCTGGGAGTCTACACCGCTCTTCTTGCCTCAACTACTGCCCCTCCCTGCAGCAAGAAACAGGCCTAGCGCCTTGTAAACCTTTATGATATAAATTAAGCTGAGACTTTTATAAATGGCAATTACAAATTATTTCAATATATCTGATCAATAAATGCTTAAGTAGCCAAGCAGGACTCTGCAGAAAAGAAACGGGAGATTTATGGGACAGTGATCTGGCTAACACTTTATCTTACCAATTCTTAACTGTGACAAAACCCTTATACAGTCATATATTCATGAAGTTTTCGTTCGTTTTTTTTTCCTACAAAATAATCAGTTGCAGGCAGACCTTGGAGAGATCCTGGTCATCTGTTCCTACATATTTGTGACAATTTAATTTTCTTCTTTCTCCTTTCCCCTTGTAGAATTGTTAGAAGAGTCATTTGTTTTATTTAGTTCTACTTTGCCTTTCTTTTGACTGAAAAAAAAAATAACATTTGAATTAGGAAAATGTTATTTGATAAAAACAGGAAGAGTATTCTGAGAAATAAGTTAATACTGTTACTCAGCCACTAGGCTATGCTAAAGGATAGTCCATTTGCTCAAGAAGACTTCTGTCTTCCAGCTACCCAAAAAAAGCAGGAAAATAAATTTAAAAACTGGATATGAATTATTTAACCATTCAAAATCTAGCTGGTAATTCCTTTAACAGATGTACAGAAGTTTATATAATTAGTTTATAGGACATATTCCAAAGAATAAATGAGCCCTTTTTAAAAAAAAAAACAAATCTATGTATGTGGTAACATCCAGTTTGGTTTTAAAAGAATGAAATCATCTTTTTGTTTATTTTATCCAAACTATATGTATTTTCATTTACACGTAGTCAGTCCTTTTTTTTTTTTTAAGATTTTATTTATTTATTCACGAGAGACACACAGAAGCAGGCAGAAGGAGAAGCAGGCTCCCCGTGGGGAGCCCCATGCAGGACTCAATCCCAGGACCCCAGGATCACACCCTGAGCCAATGGCAGATGCTCAACCGCTGAGCCACCAGGGCATTCCGAGTCAATCCTATTCCAAAAAAACGATAATTTGCAGTCGTGGACTGATTAGTTATCAGAAACATGAGCTTTAGCTCAGATATATTTTTCTGCTTTAAAAAAAGGTTATTTAAAAAGGCAACAGTTGAGGGGTGCCTGGGTAATTCAGTGGGTCAAAGCATCTGCCTTTGGCTCAAGTCATGATCCTGGGGTCCTGGGATCGAGCCCCCACATTGGGCTCCTTGCTCAGCGGGGAGCCTGCTTCTCCCTCTCCCCTGCTTGTGTGCTCTCAGCTCTTGCTCTCTCTCAAATAGGTAAAATCTTTAAAAAAATAAAAAAGCAACAGTCGAGAACCAAACACACTCATTTTAGGTGTTTTTCACCTTACAATTATACTCTATTCTCTAACTTGTGTTTAGAACCCTTTGCATTTCAACTTAGGAATGCAACTTACTGTCATTTTTTCCTTAAAGCTCTAAGGAGCACACTCCTATTTTCATCATCATTATTATATTAATACCTATCCTTGACCACATACCATGGGGGGTACTGGGATTCAAACAGGTCTAAGAAACTCACAGTGCAATTGGGGGCAATAAAAATAAACACTGATTAAATGTATTTATTTAGGGCCCACACAGGTGCCATAAATGTGATGAATATTGATCTACTTACATATTATGATAGTTCACATAAGAGATGCCCACAGTATTAGAACATCCAAAAGGTTTTTATAACTAAAGATCCAGAGGATTTCAAAGTCTAGTTCTCAAAAGTGCTTTGAAGATAAAAAGCCATAACCCTCCCAATTTATCATTTAATCCACTTGACAAGTTTATCTGTAAGAGAGGTTTGCCGTATTTTAAAGACAAATTAATCTTTTTTTGACTTGGCTTGTCTCTTTTTCAATTATTCATTACTCATCTGTTAATTATTCATTGTAGGATGAATTATTGACAGAACACAATCCAGCCCCCAAGCAAAGTGCGATTAATCTACTACTCACATCCTATTATCGTGTTGGCATCTGATAGAGTACTTGGAAGAAAAAGGTTAGTGAACTTTCTCTTCTTAAATGTAATTAAGTTCAGTAAAACCCATTTATGAAACACTGCCGAAAAAAGATGAATACAGTTATGATGTAGGTCAAGTCGTGTTTGCCCATATACACAGGGGTGGTTTTTAAAATACCTGTTTTCAAGCGCAACTGAGGAACCCAAACAGGTGCTTGCGGTAAAGCACCTGTACTGCTCACAGGGAGAAAATGCCATTACAGCAATGTCGAGAACCTTTAACTGGTTGATCGTCATTATGATTATGTCCAATACTGACATTAGTTTTTACTGAATTGCTATTATGAAATATAACATTCTTTTTTTTTTTTTTTTTGAAATATAACATTCTTAATTATGCTGCATAACATAGCAACTAGCAGAAGAGCATCACAGATTCAGTTCTAGAGTTCCTTCCTTTTACATACGATAAACTGCAGAGATACCTGTATGCCTAGAATTGCCTGTTGGTATTTAGGAATGGCAGACGACAAGTCACGTGGCTGGATTAAAGCATTCCTGACCTGAATCCAAGGTGAGTTCCTGGGCTTACTATATTAAGTTGAAAGACTATGATCTATTCTCTTTAGTGATCCCCTTCACCAGGAGTCTTGGACAGAAGTCAACTCCAGACCCATCCTGGGGTTCCTGACTTGGTCAAGGGCTCAGAGAGAGGATATAAGCATATAAGCCAGTTATCCTTCAGTACAAAAGAATGATTTAAAAAAAAAAAAAAAAAAAAAAAAGAACCACCAACCAAAAAAAACAATTCTTACAGGGGGGTTGGATTATTCCTCCTGCCCTGGCGCATTCTAAAAGGAAGAAGCTACCAAAGATGAGAATAGGGCTTTCTTTCTACAGAAATGAAAGGCTATAAAACTTGCCATGTGCCCAACCTCACATTTAATCTTGGTTTGGGGGACACTCTGAAGGCTCCAGGAGTGTTCACCATGGTGGCCATTTGTAAATTAAAGACTATGTTGGAAATTATGTAGGCTCCAATTCCTTATGGTTCCATTCATCAAATGAGGCTGATACAAAGAATAGAGAAGTAACTGCAGTGCCTGGAACACCTGTTCCTTTACATCTAACTCCGGGCTCTACTAGTCTTTAAGCACTTTAAGGTAGCATTCCAACCCTCTAGTCAAAGCTCTCGAGGCTAGCTGAGCTCAACTTGTCCTCATTGGCTAAAAGTCCTTCCAGAACTCTTGCCCAGATATATACGATGTCATGTGATCGGGATGCCCTCTGTCCTCACTGCCCCCCTGAATTCATAGTTCAGATTTTATCTCAAAAGTCAGGTTTTCATGACTAACTGCAGCAAAAATCAGGTGTTCCTTCCACCGGTTCCCATTCCTCTCTTACAGCCTTTATCACTATTTTAGATACTTGTATACCGGCCTGAATCCCTGACTAGCCACTTCCTTTAGGTCTGAGATGGTATCTCACTGCGGTCTGTTCTGGGAGGAACGAATTAGTGCTCAATACATGCCTACTAGATAAATCAACGGTGAGCAGATAGATGGATCAATGAGAAGAACTCTAAATATTAAATCCCAGGAACTCCGTCTGCATCATGAGCTGAGTCATGGTTAACCTTTAGTTTGCATTACTACGTAGAAGATGCCATAATGGGGGCTATCAAATTTATGGTGTCCCTTCAAAGAGCCCATCCTGAGCTGTTTTTCCCATCAGCAAGACTGGTTCTGACACTGTGTACACTGCCCATCCAACCAAGGAAGTGATGTAGTCCTTGGTCCCATGTTTGGTCATCTAAAGGATACTTATCCTACGGACTCATCAGTTAGCTCTGCCACAGTGTTGGTAATTTGAGTCCAAAGCCAGCAGATGGCATCTGTCTGTTCAGGAACACATATTCTCAGACTCTTATGTTGGCTGCTAATCTCAGAGGGAGCCACTTTAGCCACTGCTTCTCCCTATAGTGAAAAAAGGTCACGTTCTTTCTTAATAACTAACAACTCTGTGCTGGGATTTGGCTTTGTGAGTCCCATAGTGCTAACCTGAGAAGGACTCAGGCTTCTAAAATACTCATTTTATTGTATTCAAGAGTTCAGACCTGTTACCTCGCCAACCACAAGGGAAAAGGAGCCCTGGCAGAGATGAAGGTTGACCCCGGCCCACGGCGGTCCCCAGGAGACAGGCCCTGTGCTCTGGCTCACCCACCAGCGTCGGTTCCCCCACACTCCTCCCTGACAAAACTTTCACAGCCTCCTGGGTTATATCTGAATGACATTTCAGCTTTAACATATTTTATGTAAGTTTATTTCTGGAGACCTGAACGCTACGCTTGTTTCAAACATCGTTATAACATCCTAGAAGTCGTCTCCATCTATCATGACTCTTCATCAATAGAAGTGATGTGGAATACCACTGCAATTACCAACCGTATGTTAGCATGGAAGCAGCTATTTTAACTAAATATCTGTGTATTTAGATATAAAGATGTCTAGGAGTTTAAAAAATTAAGTAATCCCATAAATGTCATTTTTGGGGGTGAACATTCCATGATATACTGGCTCTCTTAGTAAACTGACAAAAGTGATACAGTGAAATTGAATTCAGTAATTCAGGAGAAAAGTATCTTCAAGTACACACTCACCCACTATGTTTCATATGTGGTGGTTTATCCATTCGCACTGCTAATTTGATTTTTAAGTCAGAGTCCTGGCTATTTTTTGGAACTATCATTCGATGCAAGTCAGCTGACTTGGAGCTATTAGAAGTTGGGTATAATATCACCTGTAAAAGACAAAAAAGGAAAACATTTAAGTGCACAATACGGTGTCTAAGGGTTGGAATGGAAATCTTTCCTATGTTTTCCTGTTAAAAAGAAGGTATCATGCCCAAATGTGTCTGAACCGTTTGACTCCCACCACAACAGATGGGTTTTCAATACAGACTCATTTATCTTTTTGACAAATATGTGTTTTCGTATTATCACATAGCGAGTTTTCTTCCTGTGTCACTTCATAATGAGGTAATAGCACAAAGGCTACAGTTGAATTGACAGTTGAGAAATACCTGTTAAACACCTATTATTTCAAGACTATTCTAAGCTTCTCAGAACAAAAGTTCAGAAAGAACTATCTTTTGAAATTACAGATAGCTTGTTTAAAAAAGTAAAACTAATTATTTTAGGCAGCAAAAATACAACTCATGTTTTAATATTTTCATTGTTAAAGGAAATAAACTCAATTAGAGACGGAAAAAACTGATACCATAGCACATTTTTTGTTTTAGATCAATACCAAAAAAGGATTTTTCCCTGATGACATGTTTTTAAAACTATAGAGATGATATAATGACTGAAATGAAGTAGTTATTTTTAAGAAAACTTCCAAATTACCAAGTGATTATTGCATAACTCTACAGCTTCACGAAGCCAACACAGAAGAACAGCTTACTCTTCAGATATTACATGCCTTATCCAAGCAGACCTCATCTTACTGCATTTCACCTGATTGTTCTTCACAGATGCTGTGTCTTACAAATTGCAAGACTGTGGCAACCCTGCGTCGAGTAGGCCTATTGGTGCCCTTCCGCCAACAGCATCTGCTCACCTCTCGTCTGTCACATTTTGAGAATTCTCATAATGTCTCAAACTTTTACTGTTTGACAAACTGTAACTGTTTCGGGGCATCACGAACCATGCTCACATAAGACACCAAACTTAATCAATAAATGTGTGTTTTTCAACTATTCTACTAATTGGTTATTATGCTGTATCTCTACAGTCTTCTTGGGCCTCCCTGGTCCCTGAGAAGCAGTAACACTGAAATTAAGATAATAACCCCAAAATAGCCTCTAAGTGTTCAAGTGACAGGAGGAGTCACACGTCTTTCACTTTAAATCAAAAACTAGCAATCACTGAACTTAGCGAGGAAGGCTTGTCAAAAGCCAAGACAGGCTGAAGGTTCAGTCTCTTGGGCCAAGCTGTCATTACAAAGGAAAAACTCTTGAAGGAAATTAAAAGTGGACTCCAGTACTTGCACAAGTGATAAAAAGCCACACAGCTTATTGCTAACATACAGAAGGTTTTAGTGGTTGGGATAGAAGATCAAATCAGCCACAACGTCCCCTTAAGCCTCATCCAGAGAAAGACCCTAACTCTCTTCAATTTTATGAAGGCAAAGAGAGGTGAGGAAGCTGCAGAAGGAAAGTCTGAAGCTAGAAGAGGTTGGTTCCTGAGGTTTACGGAAAGACGCTGTCTCCATAACACAGAAGTGCAAGGTGACACAGTCTGTGCTGATGTAGAAGCCACAGCAAGTTACCCAAGATCTAGCTAATAAAAGTGGCTATGCTAAACAACCGATTTTCAACATACATGCAACAGTCCTATACTGGAAGACGTCATCCTAGACTCCCATAGCCAGAGAGGAGAAGTCAGTTCCTGGCTACGTAGCATTGAAGGGACAGGATGACTGTTGTCATGAGTAATATAGCTGGTGACTTTAAATTAAAGCTAAAGCTCCTTTACTTACCATTCCAAAAATCCTAGGGTCCTTAAGAATGACACTAAATCTGTCTGTTTGAGCTCTGTAAATGGAATGACGCTGGTAACTGTAAACAGCACATCTGTTTACAACATGGTTTACTGGCTATTTTAAGTCCACTGGAGAGACCTACTGCTAAGAAAAAAAAAAAAAGATTCCTTTCAGAATATTACTGTGAAGGACAGTGCACCTGGTCACCCAAGAACCCTGACGGAGATGGACAATGAGATTGTTATTTCCATGCTTGCTGACAAAACAGCCGTCCTGCAGCCCATGGATCAAAGAGTGATTTTCACGTTGAAATCTTATGTAGGAAACATATTTTGTAAGGCTAAAGCTGCCATAGATAATGATTACTCTGGTGGAGCTAGGCAAGGTAAATGCAAACCTTCTGGAAAGGATTCACTATTTTAGATGCCATTAAGAAGAGGTCAGAATATCAATAGCATCAGGAGTTTGGAAGAAGCTCATTCCAATCCTTCTGGATGACCTTGGGAGGTGTGAAGACGTCAGAGGAAGAAGTAACTACAGATGTGGCGGAAACAGCAAGAGGACCAGAAGTGGAACCCGAAGATGTGACTGAACGACTATTCCTTGAGATACAACACTACTGAAATTAGGCCAGTTAACCACCCTGCCACGGCCTGTGAGTGTTCGAGGGAAAGGCAGAGCGCTGTAATAAATGGCTGCGGTCTCATGATAACACCGAAACAGGTGAGGTGGTACTTCTCCAGGACGGGTAAAGGGATTGGTTTCTTGAGCTGAAGTCTACTCCTGTTGAAGATGCTCTGAAGATTGTTGAATTGACAACAAAGGATTTAGAATACTCCACAGACCTAGTTGGCAAAGTAGTGGCAGGGTTTGAGAGGACAGACTCGAATTCTGAAGGAGGCTCTACTGTGTGCAGAATGCTATTAACAGCATTGCCTGCTAGAGAATTCACTTGTGAAAGGAGTCATCAATCAGTAATGGCACGCGTCACGTGGTCTTATCAAGTTACCATGGCCGCCCTAACCTTCAGGAACCAGCGACCGTCGACATCAAGGCAGGATCCTCCACCAGCAGAAAGATTACAACCTCCTGACGGCTCAGGTGATGGTTAGCATTTTTAGTAATACTTATTTTTTAATTAAGGTATGTACTTTTTAAAGACAGTATCATTGCACACATAATACAATACAGTATAAACGTTAACTTTTATGTACACGGGGAAAGCAGAAAACTCCTGACTCACTTTGTAAGGATATCTGTCTTATTGCAGACCTCTGGAACTAAACTCACACCATCTCCAAGGTATGCCTGTAGGTAATATGATGTATTTTCCCCTCTTTCGTCAGTCATGACATTTATGTAGACACAGACTATATCCGAGCCTTGATATTTTTATTTTTTTTTAATTTTTAATTTTTTTTTCGAGCCTTGATATTTTTAAAATGAGAGGACTATATTCTGAAGGATAAAGATAGTAAATGCAGTATATATTTTAAGCCACTCTTATTTTATACCAAGGTGAAAAGTAAACAACCCTGAAATCTCCATGTAAATGGGAGAATTCTAAACATGCTCAGGTATGCTAAAACGTTCTCAGAAACAAAACATGGCAACTGAATTTGGCATGATCCAACAAAAAAAACAAAAAAGTCTTCATTTCCATGTATAAGTGAACTATTCACAGAGAAATTTTTAAGCAAAGCTCTTTTTCTCTCTAGGAAAGACAACAGTCATAAAAGCTTCTCAAACTATTCTCAACTTCCAAGTTGTTAAATGCAACTGCTATTTTGAGACTTCTCTCTAGCCTATCCTAAAAGCCACAGCAGAGTTGAATCCAGTGTATCTATACACGTAAGCATATAAAGGCACATCCAGTAACAGATAAAATGGCATTTGTGGTATTTTAAAAAATGATATTATAGAATTAGTCCTGACGGCTAAAATATCCAATGGAATATTTTACAGATTCTTTCTTAAATGACAGTTAAAAAGAAAGTGATAATTTCTGGCTCGGACCAGTAGACAAAACAATGTTATCAACTTAGAAGAAGATCCCAAAAAGGAAACAAAGACCAAGACAGCTGCATATTCACTCTCTGAAGGATAGCTGGCATTTCCCTAGAGATTCTGGAAAGCTTTTTCTCTTTCTCCCCACCACACCCTTTTTTCCCCAAAATTTATTTTGGCATGAGGCACCTACAGACTTTATTTGTTTTTTTTTTTGTTTTGTTTTGTTTTGCTTTTTTACTTTATTCGTTTTTAATTCTTCCTTCTATGTTTACAGGATGAGAATATTAAAATGAAAACTTTTGACAATTTTCTCTTTCTCTAAATGCTGATGACATGTTACTAAATTAGGTCCTGAAATAACTAATTGCATCTGATCCACGAATTAAAGATCATGTCCCATTGATTACCATCATTTCTGCCTCATTTTGGTTTCCTAACGGGTACTTGTAAGCGAAGTCAGGGGAAGGGTTTATTGCTTATCTCTGTTCAATGAAACATTTGGGGGCTCATGATGTGGGGACACTCAAAGGTCAAGATATGGAGGGTTCAGATCCCTCAGGGAGTTCATAGTTTCCTTTTTTTTTTTTTTTAAAGATTTTATTTATTCATTCATGAGAGACCCAGAGAGACAGGCAGACACACAGGCAGAGGCCAGAAGCAGGCTCCACGCAGGGAGCCTGATGTGGGACTCGATCCCAGGACCCCGGGGTCATGACCCGAGCAGAAGGCAGCGGCTCAACTGCTGAGCCACCGAGGCGTCCCCATAGTTTCTTATCAGAGCTAAGAGCTTAGATAATATCTGATGACATCTTTTCCTCTTACTGCCCTTCTACCCCTAAGGTGTGCAAGTTTTCTCATTTTGTCAGTCTCTGGGTTTACGCACTATCATTTCTTTGGTGGTTCTGTACTATTACATGTGAAGCTAATTCCCTGGCTTACGTTTCCTCCTTTTGAAAGACCTGGAATTGTCTGTTTCTCGGGACAAACACTGACACATGTAACAAACGGAGGTCGGTACATGTGAAATCCATTGTTTCTAAAAGACTGTACTGGTGGATAAAGCCTGAACTTAGCCTTATCCGTGACTGTGAAACAGTTTCCAGGTCCCCAAACTGCACAAGCATGAAGTGGTCATAGTTCTCTTCGTGATGGTAGCACAGATGGTAACAGACAAGCAGCAACTCCCAATGTGTGGAGCCCAAAGGGCCAGGAGGAATAAAGGACAAAGAAGTTCTTTCTCAGACG